GGGTTGGACCATTCTTGGATAAGGGATATCAGGTATGCGTTCATACATCAGTGACTTGAGTTTCTATACTTGAGCATTTGGATTACATTCAAAACAAGATCAATTTCGGTTTCTCCTCGCATTGTGGCCATTTGCTCCGCAGAAGCTGACCGTATTACCAGGTCCTACTTCTAGACCAAAGGGGAACAGGTCTAAGTTCACCAATTACAGCGGCTACTCTCGCGCTTCAGGGGAATGCTACAAAGCAGGCAGAATATCTCCGGAAGTTTCGAGCAGACAGTATTGTTCAAGACTGTGAAGCTGTGCGCATGTGTCTGACTGCAAATTACCCAGTGGATAAAAAGCCGTGGAGTGTCCTGGGACAAAGCTTCGGGGGTTTCTGTGCTGTCACCTATCTTTCTAAATTGTAAGTTGGTCCGTCGGTGCTGGAGCAGAATGATAAATTGACTGCTCCGCTTTCCTGTACAGTCCTCAGGGTTTAAGAGAGGTATTCACAACCGGGGGACTTCCACCACTGGTGACAAACCCAGAGCCGGTTCTCCAAAAGACATTTGGTACGTCCGCATTATTCAAGCTTAATCCTCATCAAGAGCTGCCTGACCATATCCGCTTTAGGAAAACTGCAAGAGCGGAATAGAGCGTATTACCAGAAATTCCCCGAGGACGAGGAGAGAGTAAGAAATATCCTATGTCATCTCGAGAAGAACGATGTTAGCGTTCCGGATGGCGGAGCTCTCACTCCTGAACGATTCCTTTCACTTGGAATCTCCCTTGGCATGCGTGGTAAGTTGCGCCAGTCTCTGCTCGACGGTACCCATGCTAATGTGCCTTAACAGGAGGCCTTGATTATATTCATGGTACGTTCAATGAAACCTGGAAGAGCGCATTGAATATCTGCTTCTAATGTTTAGTATTCTAGACATCGTTCTCAGGTGTTCTAATGACCTCGAGGTGTACGGCTTCCTCACACGGCCAACCATTTCCTCTGTGGAGAGTGCAAGTACTTTCGACAATAACATTCTCTATGCCGTCATCCATGAAGCTATTTATTGCCAAAGGTTAGCTCGTATCATTCCTCAACTGACAACATTTGCTGACGCCTTTGTAGGGCCGCGTCAAACTGGTGCGCCGATAGGATGATACAAACACTTTCCAGTTTTCGAAGTCACAAAAGTCCAGAAGGGATATTTTTCACAGGAGAAATGGTAAGTTTATCTTTGCTTCTTCCCGTCCAGGAAGATAGCTTACTCATTGCAACAATTGCATTGTAGGTTTTCAAGCATCTTTTTGAATCATCCACCGAATTGAAACAAATCAAGGAGGCAGCCAACATTGTCGCTTCGTATGACGACTGGTCGGACTTATACGATAAGGAGCAACTGGCCAAGAACGACGTTCCGGTTTATTCGGCCACGTATGTAGACGACATGTATGTGCACTACGATCTCGCAACAGAAACAGCCGCGGCAATCAAAAATTGCAAGCATTTCATCACCAATACCATGTACCACAACGCATTGCGGGCCAATACAGAGGAACTTCTGAAGCAGTTGTTCGCTATGCGAGATGATACCATCGACTAATACCCGTGGACGTAATTCGTTGGGGTACAAGCCGATCTGCTGGGGACGCGAAGTGATTGCAGGATAGGTGATTGTAGAAATAAATGTACGCTCAAGTATATAGGATTGTCACTAGTCAGATATGCCTCTGGACACATTGATTAGTCGTATTTTTCGCGAGTCTCGTGGATGGAATTGGGCCACTTTGGCTTTGATAAGGAACCTTGAGACTGCCGAGTCTTTGCCTAGTTCGACATATGAGGACGTCGATGTGGCATTCAATAGCTTTTCCAGCACAGCGTGAAACTCCATTGCGGCAGCCTCCCTTTTATTGAGAACAATTGAATCTGAACCCTCGTCACCGTCGGCTCGCTGACGAACAAGCTGATCGATTCGCTGTTGCTTTAGACCTTTACCGTTCGCTTTAACAACGTTTGATTTCTTCTCTTTGCCGCGCGTCGTATATCCGGCGTCAAGCGTACTATCAGGGACATCGACCTGGTCACCGACCACGGGACCACCCAAATCTTCAGCTGCAAGCATAGCCGCTAGATGCTCTTCAACAAAATGTTTCAATGCATCCTTTAGCTCTGCCGATTTCATCTCAAGTTCATTTTCGTGTTTTCGCTCTTTCCGGATCAAATCCTTGGCAAGCTGTGATGGACTTTTCGTTTTCCCGGCTTCTTGCCGTTGCTGTTTCCGTAGGTCTTCGAGGCGATTCCGCACTTCTGTAGTAATCAATCGCGCATCCCGTAAATTTGCTTCTTCGGTGTTCAATCGTTCGCGATTGGAGGCGAGATCTCGCGCCGCGGCGGAGACGCTGGCTTTAAGTTCTTGGATTAGCCGTGACGTCTCCCGAAAAGCCAGCAACGCGTTGAGAGGTGAGCCAGGGGCCGGTAATTCTGGTTCTTTACTAGATAGAGATCGATACGCTTCTATGGCTCGACGAGTTTGAGCGAGGCGAGCAGCCGGGCTTAGGTCTGGGCGAGGGAGGTCTAAGGGTCTTCTTGCGCGCAACTGGGTTCCCTGGTCAACAATGTGCTAGATGGAGTGAAAAATGTTTAAGGTCTGTACCTCTTGCAATACGGACTCCTGCCTATCAACCTGCCCTCGCAACCTTTTCAGAGTCTCGTCGAGTTGCCCATCATAGTTCTCGCGATGCGTTGCAGCAGTGAGCTCTTCTTGCCGCTGGACCTCGAATTCCCGGCAGCTTTCTGCAAAGGCTTGTATCCTCTCCACAATCTCTGACGGTAAGCTCATGTTGTCCGAAGCTCCACCTGCCAGCACCTGTTCCCGTCTGCTCTACATATGTATTTTCATCTCGCGTGATGGCATAAACACGCATCGCACGTGACACAGATACCAAGCCAAAGCAGGCTAGCCGCATCGCTAAAAAACGCGCTAGTGGCGCCTGTTTCCACCTTCCGGACTTCCAGCTTTCTCTCAACCTCGCTCTTCTTCAGCTTCATCTTTCCCCCCGGCCATCCGCTTCGGCTTCTCGTCATCTCCCTTCTTCTACCCTTTACTATACTGCGCTGCTGAGCATCGTCCTTGCCTAGACGACTACTGCCGCTTTGCTGCTTCCATCCTCTTCTACCGATACAAAGACTCTGGTTCTTTGCCCCTTTGTTTATAACCACCTTTTCTCCTCGGTTCATCCAACCTGTAAAGGAGCCAACGACTGGAAAACAGGTACGAGACAGGCTTTGGAGGTATCAAGAGGGAATTTTTGCGTTTTATAACCCCTCCTGACACTCAATCTGCCAACACCACCTTCCTTCGCCCAAACGGTATTTTCACCGTTCATCAGTCCCGCTTCTGCACCACAGCATTGTCCGTGACATTTGAGAAGAAACATCCTTTCCCGCAGCCCTGTGCTCACCATCGTCACTTTTGACCAACACACACTTTTCCTCGCCGGTTCACACTCGTCAAGCATTCTTTTTAAATCAGCCTAGCACTCCGCCTTTGCACAGCACAAGCACCAACTTCCTCTCCCGTCGACCATCTGCACCAGCAAGTTTTCCTTGAGAACTCCTGGTGTACATAAAGCGAATACAGAAAGAATAGGAAGCAAGATCTTCAACCCTACTCCCGGTTTCTTGATTTTCAACGTAGCAAATCAGCCCCGTTATATTCCGCCCATTTTCCCAACATGTCTGCTTCGCCAACTTCAGCCGTCCCATCGACAAAGCGCCCACTTGAAGATCCGTCTTCACCTTCGGGCCCTACCGATCAGCCGGACGCGAAGCGTCAAGCCTTGGATAAAGTAGTTAAGGGTGAAGACGAGCCAGCAAAGGGGGATGAAGTCGATACGAATAACGATATCGTTAAAATCGAACCTAGCACCGAGACGGATGCCGCAGGTCAGAATAACGTTAAGGATGGTCAAGGTGATTTAGTGGTCCCTGATGCCCCCAATAATGAAAAATCTTCACCTACTCCTGCATTGGAGACTCAACCTATTCAGTCTACAGCTTCGCACAACGATCGTGCGACATCCCAAGCCCCTGGTCAATCCCATGGGACTCAAGACGAAACTGGATTCATCCACATCAGAGCGGTTATCTCCAGTGCTGAAGCTGCTACTTGTATCGGAAAAGGTGGAGAGAATGTATCTCAAATCCGTCGTCTTTCCGGTGCCAAATGTACTGTTAGCGACTACACTCGTGGAGCTGTTGAGAGAATCCTAACCGTTAGCGGCCCCCAAGACGCAGTTGCAAAGGTAGGCTGATATTACCATCATTACTACAAACATTTGAGCCAGCCACTAACGTGCTAATATAGGCATTTGGATTGATTATTCGCACATTGAATAATGAACCTCTGGATGCGCCATCTACAGCTCAGTCCAAAACCTATCCCCTTCGCTTGCTCATTCCCCATATCCTCATTGGTTCAATAATTGGCAAATCTGGCGTTCGCATCCGCGAAATTCAGGAGCATTCTGGCGCGCGACTCAACGCCTCAGATTCCTGCCTCCCCCTGTCCACTGAACGATCTCTTGTCATCCTTGGTGTTGCTGACGCCGTGCATATTGCCACTTATTACGTTGCCGCCACCCTTGTCGAGCAACTGACAGAAAGATTTGGGGGACCGGCTGCATCCGCGTATGCAACCCGAAGTGGTGGTCCCGCAGGAGTCATCCCTGGCGGCATGCAAGTAGTTCCTTATGTCCCTCAGCCTGCCGGCGGACAATACGGCCACCCAGATAGCTTTAAAAGGCACCATCCCCAAGCCAATCGTGCGATGTCCACTGGGTATGGTATGCCATATATGCAAGGGGGTCCTGGCCCCAGTCCACACGCGATGCAGCAGCCTATCCATTACAATGCGTCTCCTCGTCAGGGCTACACCGGAGCTGGTCCACACCAGCCGGCTCCCTATGGAGCTCCTCAGCCCCCTCACTCCCACGGAACTCCTGCTCAGCCCATGGGAGCCCCTGTTGCTGGCGGGCCCCTGACCCAACAGATTTTCATTCCCAATGATATGGTCGGTGCCATCATCGGTAAAGGCGGAGCCAAGATCAATGAGATCCGCCATCTTAGTGGTAGCGTGATCAAGATCAACGAGCCCCAGGATAACAGCAATGAGCGCCTGGTGACTATCACCGGAACTCAGGAATGCAACCAAATGGCACTGTACATGTTGTACTCCAGACTTGGTGAGTCGAAACAAACCTTTGAGCAATAAACTATCTAGGTGTCTAACGGTTTCTCTTCTTTCCACAGAGAGCGAAAAGCATCGAATTTAATGGTATGCTCATCATGGTCCTGGCTTTCGAGTGATTTCGATTCACTGCAATTCTAGCCATGTAATTCTTAATATCGTTCCTTGTTTTGTTTTGTTTGCTTTTATTGTTTAGGCTGTCATCTGTGATTTGTGTCTTTTGTCGCACTTTCCTTTTCTGTATCATGGCGAGCCCAAATGGTATGGCTTTATTCTATTTCTCAATCCTGTCTATCTATCCTCAGCATTATCCCTTTTCTTCAGCCCGGCCGTATGGTTCAGCTCTCGCGGGACTGTATTATCACCAGCTCGGTACTGTTTTTAGGACAGCATCGTCTGTTCGATCGTATTTGCGTATTCCCACTTCCATCATATCGCCACAGCCCTCCCATGCTCGCCATTTAACCCGTCTCAATTTTGATACTAACACGATGTCCTTCAAGAAGGTTGCACCAAAAAGAAAAGAAAATAGGAGCAAAGCATTGCAAATCATTGTCTGAAAATGAAATAAAACAGTATAAAATCTACCTTTTGGCACTGATCCGGAACTGCATAGTATGGTCGTCAATTTGCGGCCTTGAATTTAACATGCCTCATCTGAAGGGCTTTGATAGCAGGCAACATCCTCTCCCGTATTGGCGCAATCGAGTTTCCGAATCCTGTTGTTTTCCTCACCTCTTCATGCTGCTCCCGGCTCTCCCAACCGACCACTAACACAATCAGTTGTGCTCGCCCGGATTTGCTGTCCTGATGAGGAACGCTCCCTGGCCGTTCAACCCAGCCCATAGAGAAGGCACTGGGTGGCTTGGAATCGGTCAATTGAAGACATGTGGAGCGGAAATTGATGAGATCGTTGTTCAGAGCTGTCCTTTCTGGTGGATTGATATCTTTGGGAAATGCAAGGACGGCGAGCTCAATAACCGGGGCGGTAGTGAGGATGTCATTCAGGGGCGGGGTGAGAGTCGTGTGGAAAGCGATTGGCTGAGTTTCTGGGTCGAGGACCGGGGCAAACATCGAAAGGGGAACACAGCCAGTATTATCCTTCCATTCTAACATTTCGGATATCCTTCCTATGAGCTTATGCCAGATTAAGAACTAGTGGAGACAGCCCCAACCCGTTGCTTACCGATGATCCAAACGACGTTATTCTCGTTTTCAATTGTCCGGCCCCAGGACGAGCTGAGATACCCACAGCGTTGCTTTACGGCGTTCAACGAGTTTATGAATAGTCTCCCGCCGTCGTTGTCAGGGTCTTCAGGCTTGACGTCTGGTTTCAGAGAGAGGTAAATGAATTCGGTGACGATGTGCGATGAGGGCATTGTGGCAGTGAGTCGAAATATCTAAGTCCTCTCTAGCCATATATTGGAACGGCTCGCAAGCATACGAAATCAATCGCGATAACTCGGAGCTCTCATCTCCAACGATCGCCAGGAGGTTTGGCGGGGCGCGAAGAACCAAACTGGAGCAAAGAGCGATACGTCATAGCCATCTTTCATCCTAGTCTGTAACAAGCTAGCTCGCCAAGAGGCTACCTGCCGAGACAATGCCGACGAACCGCCATCATCGTTCATTGGGATTTTGGGAGTTGAAGGATACAAGGATCATAGTACACCCGACTCCGGAATATTGGTGCATTAGTAATAAGGTTACTCTCTGGAGAGATAGACGCTAATTCAACTCTGGTCTAGCGCCAGGTATAGCAGGATCACGTGCGCATCTCGTCGTGGTCCCTGGACTTCAGATGCGGAGAACCCTGACAAGGCTGCAAATATATCGACAAGCGCTGGAGGTCGATGTTGGAAAATGCCACCGACCTGTCGCTTGCCAGGATCCATCCGGAGCTAGCCGACCGCTTGATCAGCTTTTACGGATATGCGGCCCACGCGGTGATACGGGGTTTTCGCCTGACTCATATACTAGAACTAACTAACTATTAAAGACTAGAGAGACATCACAGGTTGAGAGGGAGTGCTCGCAAACAGGCCTGACGCTTAGACCTCAGCTTCGTCAGGCCTCTTCTTTGCTGTTGGGATCCTCACGGCAAGTTAGGAATCTTCATCTTCCTTGACAATGCCTATCCGCGTCGCGCGCTATGCCGACTTGGCGACAATTCCATCTATCCTTGCGACTGGGTTTGACGATGAAGAAGTAGTTGGAAACCTGCTCCATCCGTACAGGAAACAGTTTCCGCAAGACTACCTCGCCGATTGGCGTCGCAGATGTAGGGAAAGATTCTGGGATTATTCAAGGGTGTACTTGGTGAGCTACGTGGAAGAAGACGCGACAGGGAAAGAGATTCTAACTGGCGTCGCTGAATGGCAACGGCGAGGCTTGGGATGGGAGAGAATATGTGGGCTCTGGGGATGGTGGGACCCAAGTATGTTTGCCCTGCACACCACCCCTTGCAGCCCATAGCTAATAGCAGGGATTAAAAGGGCGTCTCATTAAGCCAATATTCACCTTTGTAAACTTCCTCGCCAATACCCTTTTCCCCAACCGCGCCGCCGCCAGACCGCCAGATTTCACCCCGTCGACGATCAACGCAGCTATCCTGCCTTTTGTTTCGCACTACTTTTCTGCTCCTTATCGCCAAACCACTTGGACACTAACGGCCCTTGCTGTTCTCCCGCAGTATCAAAATCGCGGTCATGGACGTCAATTAGCCTCGTGGGGCCTTGAAAGAGCAAAGCAAGAAGGTATCGTGGCGAACGTCACATCTGCAAAGGGGAAGGAGAGATTTTACCATCGATGCGGTTTTACAGAGCTTGTAGGCCGGCTTACTGACGGAGACGGAAATCCATTAAAATCCCTGGGGATTGAAGGTGGTGCTATCCTATTTACTCCTTACACTCGAGAATCAAAGCCTAGCGACGGTTGAGTAAAAATCGGGTTAATCTGTACTTTTTATGATAGGTCCAAATCTTGTAGGCCATAATTCGCTTTTCAGCGTATCAATTCAACGTTTGGGGGTCCACTGCTGCTCCAAATTAAACCAACCTGGCTGTTAGTTTTTGTATTCTTGATACTTTTCTGCGTCGCCAGCTTTCAGTTTTGCACGGTACGCCATACGCCCTTGGTTTTTCAAATCCAGTCGCCTTCTCAAAGCGGCATGCAGGAAAAAGTGCAACATAAACTATGAAAAAGCCGAGATAGTTACAGGCATCCAGGAAGGGTATGAATGGCCATGTTAGAAATCAATTTCAGGCTCGAAGAGCTACCCAGTCGTCTCAGTATCATTTCAAATCTTCTTCTGATACGCTCTGTGAGTACTCCATGTTCAAACTGGATTCTTTCCCCTCTCGGATTTTCACAGGGTTGGGGCCTTTTTCCGAGCATGTGTGGTTGGAACTGTAGAGTGCTTTGTGGTAAGAGACCTACCGCTGGGAATATCGCTTGACAACGCTAAAATTAGTTAAGACTGGGGGAAAAAACCTGGCTCCGTTGTCGTTGTTGTCATAGATTCAAAAGGGCCTAAAGGAGGGACCATGGGCGGAGGGAACATGTTGAGATCGCCGTCGGAATCTAAGGGGAAGAGCTTGTCCCATTCGTTCTTGATGATCACATTAGAACCTCTTGCTTCAGATACGTCTTAAAGGCTCTTGAGGATTCGAGGGACTGCAGGTTGACCACGAAAAGAGGCACAGTCTCGTCCTCAAGCCAGCAATATCAGCAGTGATAAACCTAGCACTTACCCAATCAATATCGATTGCTGCTGTGGCATCCTTTCCGTTGTCCCCTTGGGGAGATATCATAGCGAAGTCACCCATACCACTAGTTCCAATCGGTGGAGCAGCTCCAGCGCTCGCTAGCCCCGCTCCCGAAACAAACCACAGGTTACTGCTTCCCGAATCATTGGACTCGTGGCTACTTGCCCTTAGAGGTTGGGTGCCGGATTCTGTAACGGGGGGAGAGACAAGTACCTGTGGGACGGATCGATTTGGAGGCTGGGATGGAGCTGGGATGTCCTGGGAGCAGGTATTCGGGAATGGAAATGAGACTTGACTATCCATTGCCTTCCCTGAATCGGTTTGGCCGGTGGGCGGCTGGCCATATCCCTCCATTGTAGAATTGGATAGTCCAGCAGAAGAAGACATAAGTATGTCTGAATTTGGGGCTTGGAAGAAAGGTACCAATTCTTCCATTGTGATTTGGCTAGCTGAGGAGATAGTGTAGGCCCCCGTATCTTCCTGTATAGGGGGCAAACCCTTCGAGTAAACCATAGATTTGGGAATTTTAAGCCTTCTCATCTGCCGATAAGCTGCCATTCTGTCACGTAGAAGCCGCAAAATTAGGCGAGCGTTGGTATTTCGCTGCTCAAATACATCCTGAGACTGGGTTCCTCCTGTCAGCCTTGACGTTAACAACGATATTTCAAAAACGTATTCCAAGCAGCGCCATATCCGATCGGCCTCTTGTTGCATTGGAGAAAACCAGATTTCCATGAGGAGGAGTAAAGCTACATGGTATTGGTTGAAAGCGCGTTGGTACCATGCCCAAAGACGTAACTCAGGGCGGGTTTCAAGGGCGATTGAGTCCTCAATCATCTGGATACCTCTGGCAATAACGATTCGATTCAAGCGATCTGGCATGTGGTAAGCGACACTATTGGCATATCGATGTAAAACTGATATATATGCACGACACATGAGAATCGATAACATGTGTTGCGCAGCTAGCTGTATCGGTTTCGGATTAGGAACGTGAATAAGTGGCCCGTACTTGGTCCAAGTGGCTTTTCGAAAAGTTTCAATTTTTGCCAGCACTTGAGTCAGACTTATTTGCTTTTTCTCAATTCGAATCCTGTCAACAAGGAGAAGGCGGCGAAGTTCGTTACATTCAAAACGAATACGCATGAAAGTCATGTCTGTCCATCGCGGTGCATCTGCTATAGAACCCGGGGCGGCTGTCGTGATTTCAGAATCGTCCATGTTAACAGGAAATTTGGTTGAAAAGTCCTCGCGACGAATGGAATGCCTTGGTCCTTGTAATAAGCTCGTGTGGATATCAAGGAAACAAAGCTGATACCATATCATCCGCCGAATATGAGATTCAACAGGCCCATGACCATACTCCTCTGGGTCACGATGAAAGCCCATGCACTCTGCCAAGCGTATCGCCGTGCCAACAAGAACGGAATGGGCTCGAGAGATTTCTTCACGGCACATCGGGATCTAGGGGACAGTAAGACATTTCCCACTGGACTGCATGGGGAGTGAGATGAGAGACAATACCATGTACATCACTAATGCTTGGAGAGTCTGGGTTTTCGTGGTCTTGAGGAAATTTGCTTTCCCAAGGGCCGTTTCTGTACCAAGCTGAAAATTCTCGATAAGGCGTCTTTGGGGAACCCCAAACGTGGTCAGGATGGTATCTTCCGACATACTGACCACAGCACTAAACAACGCAGCGAACACGAGTGCTTGGAGAGAGAATGTCGGCTCCATACCTTTCGATACACTCGACCAGAAATCGTTGTATTGCTTTTCGAACGTGGGACGATGGACAATTTTTGCAACCGGATGCACAGCCTGCCAATATTGTTGCAACAGCCTGTCTGCGGCCACTCGTGTGGGTAGAAAGTCTGCCAGAATATATCTCTCGGCACCACCGAAAAGCAGATTAGAACGAGGAGCGACGTAAGAAGCGCTTGGATCAAAAGACGAGTGTAGCTCCTCCACGGACAACTTTTGTGGCCGGGGGTCGATTGCAGGTGTTCGGGTAGCTGCCACTGGCGTGTTGGACACTTGCAGCATTCCCAGGGCGGCGGACAGCTATTTCAGATAGGAGTATCAGTATGGAGTGAATTCGATCAAAGCAGTACTCTATAAGGAGCTTGTGTGTGCGATTGATCGTAGCACAAACCTCATCAGCGATTCGTGGCCGGTAAAATCCTCCTATTCTATCAGTCATCCTCATTTTCCCCAGTCTAAAGCCCAAGTCAAAAGACTCATCATCTGCTTCGTCTTCATAACCGGCATCCTGCACCGCCAGTGGAGTGGGTTCCAGGCCTTCCTCATCCTTTGGGATTGGGAGCCGGCTGTCCTCTGTAGCCACAGCATCGAAGATTCCACGCATATAGCTAGAACCGCCCTCTTCTACTTCGCTACGACCATCACCCACTTCCTCTTGTTTCACAAGAGCACATTGTGTAGCAGCTGCATCCAGTTCTAGGCCCCGCTCCAACGACCCAATCTTTTCTTTGATCTCCGTACGTTTTAGTCGGGACGATGCATCTGTGGCTGGAGCTAGGAACAAGCAATCGCGTTTGGATTTGAAGCAACTGGAGCACGGATGGAGTCGATCGCATTTCAACTTCCGCCTTCTGCATTCTAGGCAAGACGTTATCATTCGATTGCGACGGCGAATCCTTGAGGCTGGGGGCGGAGAGCTCGTCGAGGGATTGCGGTCCAAAGACTGCTGAAAGTCCAGAGCTGCTCCGCGGGCGACCTCACTGATTCCAGCATTCTCCGCGCTGACATGGGCTGGAGTTACAGCCTGGACGGGATTCGCCCTCGGCGTCCATACGGTTGGGAAGAGAGGAAGAGGCTCAACGACACTGGAAGAAGCTCTAGCCCTGGCAGCGGGAGGCGGCGAAACCGAGGGGTTCGTGAGGGATGACGGGTCCATAAGGACGTAGCTAGCAATTCAGGAGCCGGTCTGTGGCGTGAAAGGCGACACTCAAAGTGCCTTCAGAATGCAAAGGAGATCGAGTGTCAACCTGGCTGACCATGTTGAGCCAGCGTGCAGCAACCGCGACGGATCGTGGACGGTCATCAAGCAGCGAGGGAAAACGACTTCCCGGCGTTGACGCCTTTTCAACCATTCTCTGAGCATCATGCAGTCCCATCAACCTTTTCTCCATGAATCACAGTGGCTGGATTGGTGTTGGATCCAGGCTGCTTTATGATAACCTCAACCTTCGATCCGCGAACCGTCAACCGAGGATGTGCTGCTTGCGGAGCGGAGAGACGGCGTGGATGGCGTCGTATTTGGCCGATCGGCCGAACTCATACGACCGTTTCTGCTCAAAGAGCTTGAGATCGCGAGGCAAGGGAGCCCATGTGCCAATTCACATGTCCAAGGTCGTTTCCAAGCTAACTAGCGAGATCGTTAACAGGGCGTTGATAAAAGTGTCGACCTCGCAACATCATGGCGAATATCTTTCTGCGCGATTCACCCTGACCGTCCCTCCATACTAGATTCGCTCGAGCCATGTCGACCTCGAAACCCTATCACGGCGAATCCGCTGACACTTATGTCGACTTCGCCATCGTGGGAGCCGGCATATCAGGACTGAACTTTGCATATCGGGTACAATCCTCGTGCCCATCGCTCTCATATACAATTCTCGAGTCGCGAGATGCAATAGGTGGCACTTGGGACCTATTCAAGTATCCAGGCATCCGCTCCGACTCGGATCTGTTTACGTTTGGATTTTCCTGGTACCCATGGACAGATGATTGCGCAATTGCGGATGCGTCAAGCATCAAGAGGTATCTGGCCAGGGCTACTCAATCCGCAGGAATTGACCGCCACATTCGTTTCCGACACAAGGTATTGTCCGCGAGCTGGAAGGATGAGCATGCGGAATGGAGACTGGAGGTTGCGAATGAGGGAGCTACAAAGGTCTGTATACTCCGCGACATCTTCAGAGCACCGACTGACGCTCACAAAGTGTATCCGCTGCCGCTACTTCATCTTGGGTACGGGATACTATGATTATGAGAATCCCTTATCCGCAGACATCCCTCAGTTGGATCACTTCAAAGGCACTGTTGTCCATCCGCAGTTCTGGCCTGAAGACTTGGACTATGCGAACAAGAAGATGGTGATTATTGGATCTGGTGCGACAGCTGTTACTCTACTTCCAAACCTGGCACGGAACGCATCGCACGTTACCATGCTTCAGCGCAGCCCGAGCTATGTTCTCTCGATCGCCAACCGTCCTTCTCCGCTCTTGAAGCGACTATTACCGCGAGACCTGCTTTTCCGCTTTTTCAGATCTATTTTCATGGCCGTGTCCTTTGGGCTTTATCAATTCTGCCAGAAATTTCCTCGCCTCGCAAAGCGCATGCTGAGAGCAATAACCCAGCGAAGCTTGCCCTCGACCATTCCACACGATCCGCATTTCAAGCCTCGCTACAACCCTTGGGACCAGCGTCTCTGCCTCGCTCCCGATGGCGATTTCTTTTCGGCGCTTCGATCGGGAAAGGCGAGTGTAGCCACCGGGAATATCAAGGGATTTACGGATCATCGCATCGTCCTAGACACCGGCGAAACCCTCGACGATGTTGACATCGTCGTAACCGCCACGGGACTCAAACTTTTGTTTGCCGGAAACATCAAAATCGATGTGAACGGGCAACCTGTCGACCTTTCAAAGAAGTTCGTCTGGCGAAGCTGCATGCTCCAGGATGTGCCGAATTCCTGCTTTGTGATCGGTTATACAAACGCCTCTTGGACGCCAGGCGCGGACGCGACGGCAGTTTTATTCTGCCGCCTTGTTCGCCAAATGCAGGCTTCGGGCGCCGCGGTCGCACGGCCGTCTCTGGATACACCGTTGAAAACGGTCCCGCTTTTGAATATCAGTAGCACGTACATAACGAGGGCCGCTGATGACTTACCAAAGACTGGAAACAAAGGCCCGTGGAAGCCTAGAGTGAACTACTACATGGATTATTGCGTTTCGAGGTGGGGGAACTTGAAGAATGGACTGGTGTTTTCATGAAGATGTACAGGTTAGGCGCTCCTGGGTGGATTCGGAGACCGCATGATATCTTTGTTGGATTTTAATTTGAATTGGGTATATGGAAGAGCTACGTCTTATTCTCGGGGAAAATACCACGACGTTTTGTTATTAGTTGATATATTCGTTTTTCTGGACTCCAACTCGAGTACATCGACTCGCAGATCTCTGATCTTCTTAATTAAATTCAGAATTCCGCTTCAGATATTCAAGTATAGGCTCCACCAAATCAGGGACTGCTTCACTCTGTCATCTGTGTTCCCAGGCTATTAAACAAAAGATTATTCGGACCCTGCGTGTGCTAGGCAATTTCATGAGAAAAGAATTTATGGATCGCACATAATTCCCCAGTGCCGTGCAAAACACGACCTTTCTCTCAAACTCTCCAGAGGGCTGGCAAAAGTCGGCAGGGATCCGTTATCCACTCAAAAAGAGACTTGGAAAAATCAGGACAGCCACTCACACAAGCATCTGACGTTCCTCAGGATTTATTTTCAACGTTGTAATATTTAAAAGTCATCCAAGCCCCGTACTTTTGATCTCCGGTGGCTAAGTGCAGCCTTCAGATGGCCGACCACTTCTCTCCGTCGCTGAGCTTTGGCTTTCAACCTTTCTGAATCTCCAGGCAAAACCAATTCCGTAACCCCTTTTGGACTCCGTAACGCGCTCTGAACCAGGACGCTTGACCGGAATTTGGAGGTCCTATTAGATTCTGGTGTATGATACAAGCTATGAACACCACCATCGCCAGATGCTCGAGATCCAGGAGTAATAGGCAGTCGCTGTATCTTCTTAAGAGGTGTCGAAAAAGGAGACGTTTCCCTACTTTGCGGAGCTACAGAGGCAGAGATATCAATTCCTAGTTTCCGCATTTGAGCTTCCAAAACATCAATATCTCCGCTCTTCTGTTGTGCCATGTTCGTCATGGTCTTAATAGTCGATGTGACTGCTTCAACCGTTGGTTTAGCTGTATGCTGATTGCTTTTCTTTGACGAGCCACCGGAACCACCTATCGACTTAGAACAGTCGGCAAGCTTTGCCCGCAGTAGCGACACATCCTTTTCAAGATCTGCAAGTTTCGCCTGGAATTCAGTGGATAATTTACGTAAGTCTTGTTGGAGCGCTGATTGTTCTGCCGTCAGTGGTGCTGAAGCAATTGCCGCAGCGTCAGTATAGGAGTCCAACGTTTTTCTCATGCTTGCACATTGGCCTCTGAGATTATTAAGATCTTTGCTGAAAAGTTGATGACATTTTTCGAGTTTCTCTTGAATATTTTCAATCTTTCCTTCTTGAAGGAACTGATCCAACGCTTCGACGCCTCGCTGAAGCTTCTCCATTTCTGACAAGAGCAGTTTTTCATCTAGGACGTCAGCATATTTTTCACTTCGAAGGGTTCGGAGCCATCCTATGTAGTTATCGTCTTTCGATGACTGCTGGTATAACAGGAACGCAGAGAGGGACCGTGCGTTAATACCCAATGTACCTATCATGGCATTGATGTCGCGGTAGAGCCGTTCAATTTGACCGGGAATACCAGGTTTCAAACTCTCGCCAGTATAATCTTGATGCGGTAGGAAAGGGTCAAGGGTTGGGGCCGGCGAGAGAGGTCGGGCCAGGTCTCCGCGCAGTTGCTCATCCTCATCCTCAACAAGCTCCTGGGTTTCAATTTGAAGCCGTTGCGTTTGAAGTTGAAAGTCTTTGGGTGGGATTTCATCTTCAATGTCCTCGGATGCCATTGTTACTTGGTTTGCAAGCATGGAAGATTCCAAGGCGGCTTTTCGGCGCGAAAGAGCATTCCCAGGTATTGGCGCACTTGTTGATCTCATATAGTCAGGGGCGGAGAACATAGTTCCATGCTGATGACGGACGGGGCTTGGAGACCTTGGGCTGAGTACGGCTCGACCTTTGGGTAATTTGGGGGGTGGAAATACTGGGGTCTCTAGAATTTCTCCAAATAAAGGTTTGGAAACTGCGTGTTTCGGTTCCGGCGCTGTTATCTTTGTGAAAAGCCCGCCAGTAGGACTCTTATCAGACACACCTCCAAAGGAGCTCTCGGGAGATACTTTAAAGTCAATGGGGCTAACCGCCGGTGTGACCTCTTCCCCACTATCTTCGAAATCTTCGGCCTTTTCCTTTTCTTCCTCTGATTCATCTGGTAGAGCTGGCGGCGTACGTTTGGGTGATCCCGGTAACACGGACTCTTTTGGTGAACTAGGTTCTTCTGAAAGCTCAGCTTCAGGCAGCGGCTCCTGTTTTTTCATTACCGGAAGGAAATCTGGTGGCAAAGGAGCTTCTTCAGCAGATGTTCGTGAATCATTTGACGAAGACGCGGAAGTGTCCCCCGGGCCATATGCAGCTCTACTGGTAGGGTCGGGCGGAAGCGGGGGCTCTGTGAATTTTGGCGGAGTGGTAGGTTCACTATCCGCTGCAGCTGCCACTTTGACGGTCGTTTTGGAGGAATCGCTGTCCTCAGGCGTAGTTGAAGGCGCAATGCTCTCTTTTGACACTGCAACTGAAGGAGGTTGAATGGATGGCGTAGAGGGGGTTGTTGGCTCTACGGAAGCTCGGAGCGTCGAGAATTGTGGAGGCGTACCAAACAGCCCTGTTTTGGGAGTACTAAAAGCTGATTCTTTAGAGACAGGCGTTTCAGTTTCGGGAATGTTCGAAAAGGCCGATGAGAAGGGGGATCGTTTGGATTCTGGTTTAATTGAGGATTCAGCGTCACCGTGGAGGTCAAGGGATTTCTGAAATGACCCGAACGATAAGGCCCCATTCGATTTCTCCGGTTTGTCTTCATCCATAGCAGCGTTTGCGTCTGGCGTGAAGGTTGAGCCAAGGACGAAACCACCGGACCCAAATGCACCGGAGGCGGGGCCTGGAGTTTCTTTCGGGGTGAACGACATTTGCGCACCGAACGCAGGCTGTCCGGCATTCAAGAACGAGTTATCACTCGTTGCTTTTGCGAACACACTCTTTTCGGGTGTTTGGGGACCAATAGTGCCGCCAAAGCCGCCGGGAGACGCGAAGGAACCAAATCCCCCTCCGGTAGGGAATTGACTAGGCGCCTGTACGGGTGTTTGGCCAAAAAGTGATCGCCCACTTCCCAGTTGGCTTGATTGTCCGAATGCAGGCTGGGAGCTTCCTAGTGTTTGTTGAAGATTTGCTCCAAGGGGAGTACTTGAGCCAAATGTAGGAGTTGCAGGAGTCCCGAAGGAAGGTTGCCCAAATGCTGGCTGCCTCAGGAGCCCCCCTCCAAAACTTGGTTTGGGCGTTTCTGGTACAGTGCTAGGTTGTGGAGCAGCCGGCTGTTGGGAAGTAGGCTGGGTTTTGGCTGCTGCTGAAAGACCAGGATATGGCTTTTGCTGTCTGATTGACTCTGAATATACGAACCACCAGGAAGAAAGCACGCCGTCATTATTCAAGATCATAAGTGCAGGTAACGGTGTGCTAGATTCTCTGAGGTCGTCACCGGGAATGGGTGAAGAAACGTTACTCTTGCTTGAGAGATCCACAGCTAATCCGACGGGTGACGTGTCAACCATATCTTCCGTCATTGGAACCTCTGCTCGTCTCGAGTCTTCCGACATTGTCGTAGCAGTGAAAATATCAGTGATATTTTCTGGCGGACAGTCATCAACAAGGGGTTTTGTTGATCTTGTGAGAAGTCCAACGTCAGTTGAAGCGGTCGATGAAATAAAAAGAACTTCTCTCAAATTTGGCTCGAAGTCTTTTAGCCGACCAGTGAACTGGAAGGGCGGGTATCGCTTCGCTCCAAATGGAGAGCAAACTTCGGGCAGTCTTCGAAACTCGTAATTGTCGGGAGGGTGTCTTGTCAAAATGTAATATGAAGAAATGGGCATCTCATCTGACGTTAGCGTCGGGGTATACACCATAAGAAACGAATGGTTCTCCAGCCATATAAGCGACGATACTACACAGTATTAGCATAGTGGGTGAAAAACAGACAAATCTACCACTGACCGTGTTGATTGCCCTCAAGATCCGGCGGTCGTGGGATATCAGCCTTTCCTTCTCCTTTCGGCGTCATTTGATAGGCAGTTCCATCTGCCAAACCGGCAACCAGCTGTTTGCCTCGCGTACTCCAGGAAACCGAGCTAACTCCAGTTTTCAAGACGGGTCCATTAGGTCCAATTTCCAGCCGGTTTTCTTTTAAGTTTGCAATCAATAATTCCCCGTTCGTGGTCACAGCCGCAAAAAGTTCGGATACGACGGGGTTTGGCAATAAAGCTCGTAATGATTCCCCGTTCAAACTTATTGTTGCCGCCGGCTGACCTTTGCCTTGCATGAGTGCCGCCACGTCGTACACCGCGAGACCACCGCCATTTTGATCAGCAACCACCAGCGCCGTCTCGTCAGCGGAGAACGCCACGTGGGAGATTCTACCTGGGAGTGGGACTTGTAACTCTGGCTGAAAGGGTCTAATATAGCTATCACCAGTGGCGTCTGCGAAAAACGCCTTTCGAACAGAGTCCGTACTGGCGATTACGATGCCATCCGGCCCGGCTGCTGCTAAAAGGGACTTGGACGATGCGACACTCAGCAATGACGAAGTCGGAGGGGGTAGATTGTCGGCGGGCCACGGTGAAGGAAGCAGGCGTACTTTGGAGTCGCCATTAAGAGAAAGGAAACCCACTTCCTGTCCACCACTGCGTTAGCATCCTTCTTGTAAGAGCTTGTCTGGTCCCGCACCTGAGTTTGAATTTCCTGTAGCTCAGCGCCCAGCTGCACCTTTCCAGCGCCCATACCCGGCTGGGAGGCGCCGCCGAATGAGAACGCCATCTTCAGAGATTCGTAGTCTGCTGAAAGAGATCGGGACCTAGAATCTATGGGATAACGCGTTTTCCCCGCATCGAAAGTCAGGGAATCCCGCGGTAAAACGTTGAAGGAACGGCGCTGCTGGAGTGCACGGGGACTCCTGTTGAACAGCTGGAAGGTAGGGCCGAAAATCTTGACGCGCGCGCTCCTATGCGGAGAGTCGAGGGCTGTGCATAGGAAACAAGCTGCAGCAAAGGAGACGGTTGCTCGTAGAAGCCGTGTAGGGTCCTGTAGGCATCGAGAAGCTCCTCGTCGCGGAGATTAATTGCAGTGGAACAAGGATTCGCGCTGGGTGATTTTGTCGCCGTCGTGATGGTCTGAGGTTGTGAGCCAATGGATGCTGATTGGCCCGCAGCTGGACAACAGCATCAGGCAGCTTGAGCTTCGTCACTTCAACCAGCAGCATCAACAGCAACACCACTGCCCCCTCCACGGATCCCGGTCCTGTTTCTTTGCTCTGCTGTCGCTGCTACGTCTATTGCTTTACGCAGTGTGGCCTGGATTAGTCGCCGCCGTTGATTGTCTGTTTAGCTCGTCTCGCATCTCTCTATTCCCCAGGTTGTCTGTCCATCACCTCGCTATGCCTGGGTTCGACTTCTCCAATTACAACCGAAATGCAGCGCTTCATGCAAAGGGAGTCCCCCTGCCAAAGGCTACAAGCACTGGAACAACGATTGTTGGATGCATTTTTGACGGAGGCGTCGTGGTAAGCTCACACCGGTCTCGTGCTTTGTTGTGTCCAGTTGTATGTCGCTAACCAGCTATTGATTGCACGTTAAGATTGCCGCAGATACAAGAGCAACGAGTGGCCCTATTGTTGCTGATAAGGTACGTCTTGTTTTCTTCTGGTTGATTGAAGGTGACCCGTCTTGCGGACTCTGGAACACTGACTTCGACATGACTGCTAGAACTGCGAAAAACTTCATTACATTACTCCGTCGATATGGTGTGCAGGAGCTGGTACCGCAGCAGACACAGAATTTACCACTGCGCTGATCAGCTCCAACCTTGAACTCCATGCCCTTTCCACCGGCCGAAAGCCACGCGTTGTAACCTGTATGACAATGCTGAAACAACACCTATTCCGCTACCAAGGCTACATCGGCGCGTATCTTGTTATTGCCGGTGTCGACCCTACCGGGGTCGGTCTTTACACAGTTCACGCCCACGGCTCCACCGACAAACTTCCCTATGTGACAATGGGATCGGGCTCACTTGCTGCAATGTCCGTGTTCGAAACTATGTGGAGACCCGAATTGACAAAGGAAGACGCCATCGCTCTCGCTTCAGAGGCTATAAAGGCGGGTATCTTCAACGATCTTGGTTCCGGAAGCAACGTGGATGTTTGCGTGATCGAGCAAGATAAACCCACTCGGCTGCTTCGTAATTATATCACACCCAACGAGCGGGGTGAGAAGGAGAGAAATTATCGATTTGCAAAGGGTACAACAGCATGGTTGGATCAAAAGATTATTACAAAGGAGGATATAGGTCGATATGTGACCGTGCAGGAACTCGGCGATGACAGGACTGGGGTGGTTGTGGAGAAGATGGATGTTGATTCTTGATTTCTACCGCCGTCTTTCATTTTGTTGCCTCTAATGTACTCTTCTATATTCCTAGGTCTGGGTGCACTAGTAGCAATAGACGATCAGGTGCTTATTTGAATCGTCACATCATGACAGTAGCGACGTATCCATTTTCCCGTCCAGCTCTAAACTATGGCGTATGCTGTACGGCACAGGGCACACCAGTGCATTTCGTGCCTAGGACATCGCCCTGCCCCATAAGTGCCAGTGAATCTAAAGGAATCGAGGATGCTTAAACTTATACTTTTCATATTGAAATACAGACTTTTTGCTGCTCAAAGTAATTTACTTCCACTTAAGGTGTTACATATACTAGACTTTCCAAGTCTATCTAACATGTCTCTGTAAATACGAATAGGGTACGGTAGGTTGCAATAGGGAAAAGTAGTTGTATCAACAAGATGGTTAACCAGGGTGACAAGAGCACCATAATAGCACAGCAAGAGAAATTAGTGCTTCCCGCACCTTGCAACAGGCACACCGCTAGAAAGCGCATTTGCAACTTCGTCTCCTTCAACCTCCCGGACCTTATCCATTACAAAAGTAAACCTATCCATAGGAATAGCAAGCCCAGCTTCTTGATACCGGTGGATAGCAGCGTGATATAAAGCGCGAACAATTGTGGGCTTGATGGGCGCATTATGAAGAAACAGATACTCATAACACCATCTCGTCAATCTATACGAATTTCGGGGACTGAGCTTGGTAGAGCACGCAAAAATCAGAGCGATGCTGTGCATTGTCGCAAGGCAATCCGTCGGGTTCAAGATTGGATACCCATCATTGGTGTATGCTTGCGCTCCGCGCAGCCTTCCGTCAAGGGAACCATATCTGAAAGAATCCCAGGAATAAGCTAGAGCAATTTTGAACGGGGTGTGGCGGCGGAGGAGTCGGAGCAAGCCAGTGCGGCGCGGTGAGTTCGTTTCTGTGTAGAGGAGGACCTTATTGGCAAAATCGGGCGCCGTGACGTCTGTTTGTTTTGCCAGCTTTTCCCATTGAACAAACAATTCATTTCTTAGCAGCCCATGTTTTTCGTTATCCCAAAACACATCTGTAGGTGATAATCCACCACGCTCAACTTCAGATAGAGTCATGAGAACGTCGCTAGGAAGGTGTTGATATTTCCGTAGACTTCGCTCATACTCTATCCGCATGCTCGTGGTAATGACAGTATTTGCATGCGGCAAACCAAGCCGGCTAAATGCTCGCATAAAACCACGCAGATAAGCATTAATGCCGACCTTAGGGCGTGACCCTCGCAAATATTTGTCGTAAACTAGAAGCTTTTCAAACACATGCCTTTGACGAGAATCGAATTGGTGCGCACCGCGAGCTTTACGGCCCAGGACCTTAACGAGCCACAGTTTCAAAAGCCATTGTTGTCTCGTGTAGTTTCCTTTCCTTTTCATGGCCATACTGGTCTTAAACAGCTGTCTCCTCATGCGTGGCGCATTGCAAAGACGTGGAGGAATACCCCAGCGGGTTTCATAAAGCAAAGAGCCAAGGGCAGACTCCTCCAGAATACCACCCCAAATCTGGAGAAGCTTTCGTCGGCTTTTCCGATATCGTCGAGACATCAACAACGATTCTGTAAATCGGAGAATCGATTCCAGAAGGAAGCGGCTACCGAACAGTTGGCCAATATTATTGACATCGTGGATATGTCTATGGAAGTTCCTCCAATAGGAAATTCCAGAGTTCTGGGGTGTACGCATCGCTTTAAGCCTAACGATTTGCAATAGGACGTCCCGTATCCATGAATAGGAACTCGTCCTATTAGATGCAAGGAGGCGAAGTATATCTTTGCTCACTGACAATGAATTCCCGCTTGGATATCCCCTTGCAAGAAAGTTAAGCCATAATCCCAACGTCCTCCTACCAATATCTTTCGGGGGCAGGATAGAGCATGATTTTATTCCGCGCCACATCGCATTATAACAGATTCCATGAATATCAGCAGCGTGTTTTGAGTTATTGTCGGAAACTTGAATTCGCCGAACCAGTTTCAGCATCAACATTATCTCATTTCGAGGGACGGCACCGAGGTTAAACATTTGCTTCAGCATGCTAAAGACCTCTTTTACTTCCTGCGTTGAACCTGGACGGGTGACCAAGGACTGCACCACAGCCACAAAGTTCATGGAACCCAAAGTATTCAGGGTGGGATCTCCAAGAAAATCGCCAACGTCGGCAATCGTCCATGGTGATCCATTCCGATAGCCCTGTAGCACGTGGTCGAAAATCAAGCGGCTGCACTCGGGAAGGCTGCGCAGGCCAACGCCGAGGTCTGCTATAAGCAAGCGAATATCCTCTAGCGATTCTGTTTGATATAAGTTTTGAGACACTATTTGATCGAGGCTCAGAGTGGGCGGGGAGGGCGGAGTGTTAGAGAACGGCCATGAGGGCCTGGCATCTGGGAGTAGCGGATTGGTTAGATCGAAGGCGGGCGGGGCAGTCGCTGCACGATATGGTCAGCATCGTAGGTATAATTATTTTATAGTATTGCACGTACTTGAGGGTGTCTGTTCTAGAAAGAAAGATTCAAAAGGAGATGCGACGCGGTGCTGCGGCTCTGAGGGCTTCCGTCCGAACAGAAGGCTAGGGTCAATGCCAGCACCTCCACTTCCAACTGTAGCCAAATGCGTATTTCTCCTCCTTGCAAGCCGCCTTCTTGCTTCAAGCGGGCCGGGAACATTACTTCCATATCGTCGTTGTGTCGTGGTGAATTGGGTATAGGACCAAGCGAGGAGGGTGTCGCTAACCCAGACGTAGTTAACAATTGGGTTGTCATGCGGTCCAGATGCCCTCCGGCATGCCTGTCTACAGAGAGACATGGCTGACGGAGTAATCAGGAGACGAATTGGGGCAATTGAGACGGTGGTCGAGTTCCAATGGCAGTTTGACCATCTGTCGTTGGAATGGTCGTTGCCGTGGATATTGTGATGACTAAGCATCGGCTAGAACAGCAGCATCCCAACTCCGGAGCACATTTAAATCTCACCCCGTTCCGATCAGCTCGATATTTGTTCGAATCTCAATGCAGTCCATATACCCTATACTCCTTGCGATTCTAGTGGAGTAGCGGCGTGCGTGGCGTATATTGCTTGGGGTCCAAGTCAAAATCGCCATAAATCAAATTCATCTCTTTTAACTATGAGTCTGTTTACGTTCTCTATCATATCCACGAAATATTCGAGAGTTGCAAAAAGGACGACCTTCTTTATTTATTGACGTTTAGAAAAAGTATAGTTGCTGCATAGCCTGACAATACCGTATCTTTACCTCCGGGGATATCAGGGCCATTGTTGACGATAACGAACACCCCACAGGAAATGACCAAGGAATTTTAGGGATAGGGCCTTATGAGAACAGTCGCAATCGAGGTAGCCGCCACAAGCCAAGGGCTCTGTCCCTTTCTACGAATCGGATCCGCCTGTAAAATTGAAGGATGTTTGCTTCGGACTGACAAAATGTTTCCCCATTGAAGCGCCACCTGAGTAACGAAGGAGACACACTGTCCAACTTTGTTGAATCGTGTGAGCTGTTCTTCTGTATAACCAAGAGACCCGTCACTTTGATTCTCATAGGCAAAAACAAGAGCGTGAAATAGAACACCAACTTTCCGGTGCATATATCAAAAGAATACAGAGTGCGCGCAGATTAAGCATAGGATAATGCGAACAAACCTAGGAATTTCTTTCTGGATCACAGCTGACTTTCCCTTGACATTTCCGGCCACATTGGCGATGCGTCCCTGACCGAACGTCTACCTGTAAGGGTGACCGTTTGTTAGTGCCCACTCGATGTTTCGCGTCTCGAGAAGGTTGTTGTCGGTCGCATCGGTGGCACCTTCAATTTCGTCAGACTCTCCGGTCAGAACTGATCGATGAAAAGCCGCATGTCAGCGGGGACGTACCGATCGAAATATGAACGATGTCCCTAGTTACGAGGTTGGTCGCCGGAACCTTGATGATATTGCCCTTAAAACCTAGGTTTCCGATGGTAGGAGGTCGAAGAATCGGGCTCATCACCCGACTAGTTGACCAATTTTAGAAGGCAGAAAAGCTCGCGTGTAGAAAAATGATGGGGATTCCCGAGATGCCATTTGTGCCATTTCCACAGGTGCTGGCACAGGAGTGTCGGCTTGTGAATCGTGATTGACGTCGTCTAATGGACTAGCCAGAGTCGCCGCGGCGGCTGCGATGGCCTTAGTTCTCCGCTGGAGACTCAATCTTGATGTGCTCTGGACTGTCGATGCATGCACCGCGTTCAAGAGGTTCAACACCACGATATTGATGCATCATGCAACCGAGGACGGCTCGTTGCCCATTGGCCGCCACACTGCAGATGTGGAGACCGTCAAAGGCTTGTTTCGGCGGCAATCTATGCACGGATCAACTATGCGGCGTTACGTTTAGCCACGGGGTTACCGTCCTAATCGGGAAAAACAGCCAACGGTAGATTCGCGAGATATAAATTCCTACTATCAAAAGGTACTCAAGCCTACTACGAAGCTCGCTCGAAAGAAAAGTCAAGGAATGGAAGAGAGGGTCACTCTCTGGGTGCCTTGTGAGCGTCTTTGGCGATGGCAATTATTTCTATTATGGTAACCAGGCGACACATGGAAAGAGCCCGTGTGTTTATTATCCACCACATGAACTGAGATTTCGCCTGGGGCTAGACTCGGTGGTTATACCCCTTCATACCTGCGCGAAACCGGAAATATTCCTTTTCGGAGAAGCGATACCAGAATCCAGAATGACAACCCATACCGCTAGTAACCTGCTCGAGCCTGGGAATGAAGCCTAACATCCTCTCAGGCATCATACTTTTAAACAGGCGCCAGGGAACAAAGACTTCTGAATTTGGCGTTGACCAAGCCTGCATGCCGGAAGATTGATAGTTTTTACAGAGTAGCATCCTGCACGAGATATTTCGATTTCCCTTACCCAAAGATTGGTGTTGACTTCAAAACCGTGAAATTATATGCCGCCTGAAGGCTTATCCTGACGTTGGGTGATATTAAAGTAAGAAACGTCCACTCAAGCTATGAAAACAGCTCTGAGAATGACACACAGGTAAGCAATGCTCTAAACGCCACTACAACCCAGGCTTGATGGCATTTAAGAGCGGAAGATCGAACGGCGTAATGTTAACCACCTATTCATCACCACCCCATCCGAGACTCGTATCCCAATGGCGAGCAACTTCAGACACGCCCCTAACAACACCAACAACCGAATCTGCCCAAGTCGCCTCGCCTCTGTCCATCCTCTGCCTTCTTTCCCTCTCTGCATGTGTATCATCCCTTCCTGCCAACATATCTGCTCCCCGGGTAATATCTACGGTGGTGACGGTTTCCCCTTTTCTTCTGCCCAACGCTGCAGCTTTAATTGCGGGTGCGAAACGTCTAATCCACTCAGTTTCAGTAGGAAAATCGGGAGGGCGATGTTCCACACGAATAATTTCATATCGCCTCTCTAAAAGAATCAAGAGAGGCCAAGCGAGTATCCAAAGTTGGAGGATCACGCAGGCCCACCAAACAAGATTATTGGTGCGCATCTTGTTGAAAAAAGATGGCGAGTATATCGTGAGCCTGGACTGCTTTATGAAAGGTGACACCGAAAGGCTACCACGATAGTTCGTAGAGCGGATGATAGATTTGATCTCTTGTTGGATAATGTTGAGATTCCAGGAGACAATGTCTCGATGCAGAGTAAAGCTGAACGAACAATACACATTAGTCAAGATAGATCAGCATGTGACCTCAACCGGAGTGTCTTACGATCTGACACCCGACTTGTCATTGCAAAACCTCTGGCACCATTCCTCGAGTGTTGGCCCGTTGGTCGCCTGGTCCCCGCTTTCAAGAGAATTCTCAGTATTCTCGTTGGTCACCCAACCGCTTCTGGTACTCTTGAATCGTCCTCCTCTGTATGCAGACACGCCATCATTGTCCTTGATCACTTTTGTCACCCGGTGATATCCATCTCTAGCATATCTAGGGGCTGCGAGGATGCCGCTACCATCGATAAGGAAATCAAAATCCGTGACCGTCTCGCTTGAACGTTGCCTATCGCTATTTCGTCTTGATACTGTGTGGGTCCCTTTAACTGAAAAGCAGATCAAAGGAGGGATATCAGCCTGAAGTTTAAAGAACTTGTACAGCACTTCAGCGTTTGAAGACAGGTATGGAGCCAGAGAGACTGTGTACGTCTTGCCTTCGCGCTTCGAAGTAAGAACACGGCCTCCAGGAATTTCATACAGGTTGCTGAGGGCCAGTTCGTTGGGTAGGTTGTCATGGTCGTTGACTAAGGGCAAAGACTCGTCATGTTCAACATAGGCCGGAGGGCTGTCGTCGTTTTCCAAATCAGAGTAAGCAGGGTACGGCACGAGATTGCCGGTCGAGCAAGGCTCTCCTGTTGGATCCTGGGCTTCCAAAAGAATATCTGTCGAGGCTCCAGCAACGGGTAGCGTTTGTGCTTTTGAAACAGTCATGACGCCTTTGAAAGGCGGACAGCTTCCAAAAAATTAGATGTTCAAGCAAAGGGTATCTTCGATTTCTCGGGCTGAGGGGATAAGGGCAGCTGGCTGAGTTGGCGTGTGGCTTTTCTTGCCGAGGGGAGTCTAGACTCCGAAACACGAACAACAAGTTCACGAGTTTTCGCGGTTGTTGAGGACGAGATATTCAGCGATACTAAGCACGATCAGCTTTTGTTGAGTATGGATCAGGTCTCAGCAGGGGAAACCAACTGCGAAGAAACTCCATTAATAGTTCTGAGAATGAGGCTGAGACGATAGTTACCAACCCCTGGCCCCATCAAAAAACAAACAATACAAACATATGGAGTTAGATATGGCTTGGTAGGGCCTTGGCCTGAGGACGCTGACTTGAACTGAACAATTTTGCATTTCTATCCTGATTAATAAAATGGTAATGTTCCTCTATATATATATGCTCCCGGTTTTGTATATGCAAAAAAAGGCATGGTCGTTCTATATATTGGGCAAGATTTCTCCGGACCTGTGCTCATGCGCAGATTGTGCATTCAAGATCAACGGCATAAGTCGATCCGAAGCGCCAAAATGGCTTCAGCCGTTGCTAGATGCTGAGCAAGATCGAACCAACGGAGGCCGGGGTCACCTTTCGGAGCTCCCCATTAAACCCAAGCCCCATTTGCCGACTTCCCGCATCGCCTCCTCCCCGCCTTCCGCGAGCTTTCCGTTGCCGTTTGCATCCAATAGCCCGGCAATGCAGCTCCATCCATCTCGCCCCCCGCCCCATTGCAGCACCTCATTCTTGAACCGCTCACCCGCGTTTCTATTTGTGGATAGTTCCCCTTTTTGGAAAACGTCTGACCAGACCTTATTCGCGATAGCTCGGTCAAAAAGATAACTGTAATACGTCGCACCGTAGCCAATCAGATGTGCAAAATATCCCTGCCAAGAGGTTCGTGACCCTGGCGGGTCTGGTAGACTGCTGTGGGCGGAATAAACATCATGGTAGATTCTCGTGGAGCTGAAATTTGGTTCGAGCGGGCGTGACGAATGATAGGCTTGGTCCAACAGAGCCATCAAGATCTGCGTTTCGTCATCCATACTACCATGGACACTGTTCCGGTTCCCGACGGTTCGACTTCATACTCTGGACCATATGCTCGGGCAGGGGCTCATTGGTTTCCCAGTGACGTGCGTAAAGAGCCAGAACCTCAGGCGCGGTTGCGAAATTTTCCATAAGCACAGAAGGGAGTTCCACGAAATCGGTGGCGCACCGGGTTCCGGATATCGTTTGTAAACTTGTACGAGCAAGGACAGAATGAATGGCGTGGCCCATTTCGTGGAAGAGGGTTTCCAAACTGTGCTCGTTTAGAAGCGAAGGAGTTGATCCGGAATTTGACTGATCAAAGTCACAGATCAAGGCAACCGTTGGCAATTGATAGAGCTTATCGGATCCAGGTTTAACAGCTGCAGCCATACCATCATTGGGGTGGAGGGAAGAGGATAACTCAGCGCATCCAGCAACCTCATCTTTTGAAATTTCACGGGAGCCACGGAGGGTGAAATGAGTAGGATTGGGGCTTTTATTAGGTCGCGTGAAGAAATCACAGTAGATTACCGCAAGGCGTCTATCAGCCTCGTCGACAACGTCGAGTCTCCGAACATCGGGGTTCCAAATTTCCCCAGGCAAAGTTTCCGTTGGCACAAGGCGAACGCCATAGAGACGGGTAAAAAGCCGGGACAACCCTTGCATCACCGTACCAATCGAGAAGAAAGCGGGGAGCAAAGTCGACTCCCGAGATTTTCTAACTCTACTATGCTGCGCAGAATATTGATGAACATAGTAGGCATGGTCCCACGGCTCAAGACATGTGGCAGAAGGATCATTGGCTCGTTTCAAGGCAAGCAGTGTGGCCAACTCGTCTCGGACCTGTCCACGATTGCTGGCATTGAGCGCTTCCAAAAAGTTAGCCACTGCCTCTGGAGTTTTGGCCATTTTATCATTTAGCGTCATATGTGCATAACTTGGAAATCCAGCGAGCTTCGCCAGCTCTGCTCGTTTCCGAAGGAGGGTCTCTAGGCGGTTGAGCTGAGCTTCTGAAGATGTTCGAGAAGTCAGATAGATCTTCTTTCTGGTTTCTTCATCGTGCACGGAGTAAAGTGCCATTTTTGGTATATCGCCAAACATTGGAACTGCAACCTTCATCCACCTTTTAAGCCGCTGAATGAGCGCAGGATCCATACCACGGAGCTTGTTCTTGTCAAGATTCAACTGGCTGGTTTCGGGCTGCATATTCCTCACAAACATGGGCCCCAGCTGGCTTATCTCGTTTGATAACGCGACAAACCTTTGCCTATCCTTGGGTGGCAAATGTATAGCTGACTGCGAGAAGTCCCTCAATAGAACTTGCGCAGCCACCTTTTCCTCCCGACTCCAGCGGGATGTGACATTTGGATCCGCGCACGCCCGTTTCAGCTGCGCATCAAGCTCTGGCGTTGTATTCAGCACGTTCATATATTCGAACATGAGTGCAAACGCCTGCGTTGCAGCGTCCTGGAACTGCTGGCTCGGGTGATTCAATTTCATAAACTCTGCAATATCTATCACCCGGCATAGTAGATCGCTCATACGGTCGAGGTCTCGGACCATTTCCCTGTATTCCTCCTGCGAGCTAGCGCCGATAACTTTTGCCACTATCTTCTGACATTTTTGTATCGAGATTTGGGCAAACACGAGGAACCCGTCTGGAGTCGTGAGGTATTGGTTTTGGAGGAGGCCGGTGCGCTTGGAGGTACCAGCTTTTCGATGGGAGAATTCGTGCCAAAACGCTCTGGAATCGAAAACACGCCGTAGTGTCTCGTCTTCATGTCTTTGATTTGAATTGTTGCTGGCGACATTGTATTCGTGCAGGGGCGTTGCGGCCGGAGCTCCCTGAAAGGAGCGCCGGGTTTCGGCGCGCAACCGTAGGACACATTGTCGACAGGTCCACGACCTTCGAATCAATGTCTTAAGCATTTTGACATTGCATCTGCGCTGAGCCTTGGTGCTGAACTGCTCAGATTCAGAGCGTCGAGAGTGTCGCCTGGCAAGTTTTGATGGTCGGGAGCGGGCAAAATTTCCAAGTCTTGCCGAGAACTCAAAAACAGTGTTGAATCTGACATTCGACTGCAAACAACATCGTCAATCCTCTCAAGCGGCAATTGGCAGGTCAGCGCAATTAGATACAGATAATATGGTACTGCATCCGCTGCTGCGCCAAGTAGGTCGTTGCTCCTTGTGGGTATCTTGACTTTTAGTACTGATCTCTGGTCTCTCTCAGCGCGCTGCTGCCACCGGCGCCGCAGTGCTTATAGCTGGCGGTTTTGCTGCGTATCCGGGACGAACGCTCTATGCGGAAGCTCCTCCGTCTTCGGTATGCCAATTACATCCAATTGACTTGGGATAAGTAGTTCTCACCGGTCTTGCAGCGTCAGCGTAAGCCAATCTACGACGACAACAACGACAGCACACCAGCCGAAGTCCAAAAACCGCTCCCGACCACCCCGGCTCTCTCCTCCAATGTTCCCCCAACGACTTCAGACCCGTCCGACCACCAATCTCCCACAGATCAGTTGGCGAACCAGATCCGCCAGGCCCGACTTTTTCTCTACGATCACTCTCTCTCTGCCGAAAACGCCTTCAACAATGCCCTCTCCCGCGCCTTGAACGCTGAATCGAGATTCACCAGCACCATAGCGTCACTTGCACCGTCTCGCGAGTCTGGTGAGCGTCTTCTTCCCGGAAGTATCTACGTGATTGTGACAGCAATGGCGGGGTCTATTGTTTCTCGAAACCGTGGCGTTTTCTTACGGACTACGACGCCTCTGGTGGCAGGCACTGTCGCTGCGTGGACGCTACTGCCAGTCACCATGCGTAATATTTCTGATTTGGTATGGGAATATGAGAAGAAATTTCCTGCTCTGGCGGAGCAACATGTAAAAATCCGGACTATTACGGAAGAGTCCTGGCGACGGGCCGTCGCCCACAGCGGTTATGGGAGGATCTGGCTGGAGGGAAAGATTGGGGAAGGGCGTGAAACGTTGGAGGAGTGGATTAGCAAGGGGAAATAAACAAGTCATCTTTCAAAATACTTCTCGCATGACTAGCATTTCTTA